CATAGGGTTTCCGGAGGCAAGCTATTATGGAAGTGGATGCCACTCCTCCTTCCAAGCTTGTTTTAATCGGGGAGCTCCACCCCTCTCTCTGTCCACATTGGGTGACCAACCATTAACGCGTTGGTCAATGAAATTATTCTAGTAGTACCATTAAATTAATGTTATTATCGATGGCTCAGAGCCAAAGTTTTCGAAACTAATATGCACAAAGAAGAATATTCCTTTTAACTATATTCCTTTAAGGAAAATGGGCCTGTGTAGCAGAATGAGCCTTTTCTTCTTTTAGTTTTAATGTTTATTAGTTTATTAGTTATTTCGTTTATTAGAATACGCACTTTGCTCTACTGTCTTTTTAAGTTACATTTTGAGATTTAAGATCAGAAAAACTCTCGAATTGATTGAACAATAAACTAACTTTTTTCTGTCATTAGAAAAGATGAACTAGCAAAGGTCTAAGATTGAGGACTGCCTTCTAGAAATATCTAAGGGACTTTTAGCTCGATTACAAGAATAAAAAAATCACTTCCAAGCGTAAGTTTAGAGAATGACTAGAGGTGGTAACTAGCTAAGTACAGAAAAATTGAATATGATAGCATTAAATTTAGTTTTTCCAAACTTTCTGTTAATATCCTTTTAGGTTTTTAAGGTGCTTTTCTAGAATTTTAACAAATTACTTTTTAGTGTCTAAATTAATCTTTAAGGAATTGTATCTTTTCACAGTTCCATATACAATCATTAAATAACTATGTACCCCATACGTGATTTGTTTATGATTGTTTGGTATTACAGTAGACTACTGTTGTTGTTGTTGTGGTTATTGTTATTGATTGCTGTCAATTTTAGCATGACTTACAGCGACCCTTATGAACAAAATACCTGAACCCTTTCTCTGTCGACATTTATCAAAGTTCATAGAGTTTCCAGAGACATGCTGTTTAGGAAGTGGATGCCACACCTGCTTCCAGCTGTAGGCTTATAGAATATCCAAATACTGCGTAAATAAAAATTTTTTTTTCTACATAGAAATAGAAAGTTATTCAATGTACTAAAGATATTTAATTTACTTTTTTCCCTCTTACAGATTTATGAAGGTACTGCACAAATTCAAAGGCTTATTATAGCCCGTGAACACATTGGCAAATACAGCAAATAAGGAAGTATCTATAGAAAAATCTATATATTGTTGAACATTGACTACTTAAGCTCCAGAAAAGAAAGGCTGTTAAGCTAATAGAAGTATTCTTATGACAAACTTATGCAACTTATTGTAATATTGATTTTATACTTTATCAGATTGATTTGTTTTTATTAAAATGATCCTTTCTCTTCAGTACCACACTTCAATAATCTTGAATTACTTTAACCTACAAAAGTACATTTTAACTTCTTAAAGTTGAAACTCAAAATTTTTGACTTTCAATACTTTTCCAGTGACAGAAAATTAGGCTCATAGAAGTAATCAGAATGTTTAAAAAAATTTGCATTCATGAAATACTGTAGGATTTTGCTGCAACCTAGTAACATGCCAGTGACTTTGCAAATTTGTAATTATATTGGAGGAGATGGCTTTTTAAACTACAGCTTAAAAAGCGTTTATTTTGCAGTTGTTTACAATTACAATCAAATATGTTATATTTCACGGTTCCCACTTTGCAACTACCAGGATTACCTAAAAATCTCATTTAATTGTGAGCTTACATGTTACCTACCAAATAAATTCATAAACTTTGCCTTAATTTTCTGTATACTATCAGCAATCTCTAAGAAGCCTTTGATCCATTATATACAATTGCATTACATGTGCATGTATTATGAAAACAAATTGTCGAGTACTTATTAGAATATTTGTTATATTATTTCTAGGAGTTTTTATTACTTCATGTTAATTGTTGATCCTGTCATGGTTGGGTGAGGGAAGTCATGTTTTAATTTTAACTGTGTACATTACTACTTATTTTTCACTAAATTATATTACTAAAGAGTGTTACTTCAGAAAATGTAAATATAAAATAAGAATAAAAAAATTAAATTTCGTATTTCCTTTTAACTCTAGACATCAAATCGTACTAAACCTTGTTTTAATAAATTACTAAAATAATCTAATCTTTTACAAAAATATGATTTTTTGTTTTCATGCTCAGTAATAAAAATATTTTTCTTTTAAATTTTGCTTTATATTGGTTTGCTTACAAAGTTCATATACATTGTGTTTCACACTATTCTTAATTCACATGATCATTCATACAATCATTCCCATGCATTATGTTTTATAAAGTTAATCATCATTGGACTATGCCCATCATTCATTACCCTGTCTTTTCAGATCCCCAACAGATCTTTCTCATTTCCTTTACCCTCTTCTCTCCACCCACCAAATTATGCAAGCCTGGGATTTCATCCCTGCCCATCCTCATCTCACTCTCAGTAATAAAATTTTAATGACACACTTAGCGGCTGGCAAACAACTTGAGATTTCCTCTTTAAACATACATACATAGAAATGACACATTACATTTCCTCTTTAAACTTACAAACATAGAAATCACACATTACATAAAATACATATACAATTCAAGTGCAAATTTGAATTTGGAATATGCATGACCAAAAAAATCAACTTATTGACTCTAAGATAAAATGTTAATAAATCCTTTCGATATATTGTTATACCATATAATAAGAAGCATTTATTATTTGCATTATTTTCTAAATGACAAGTACCAGCTATGTTAACACATTTATATAATTCAACTCATTGACACTCTCTAACCCATATCAGAAGCAATGCAAATTCTCTCCAGAAGTGTTATTTAGGCCCAAATCGGAGCTTATGAATAAAAGTCAAACTGTGCTGCAGTCAGTCCCAAAGGCACGGGATTTGAGGCCACTAGCACCACAGCAGGAGAAGGATAGGCAACCTCCTCCCATGCATTAACTACCTCTGAAAACCCGCGGGAGGGTCAGCTATGGCTCGATTCTAACTCTATGGTAAACAACAACAATAAAAAAGAACCACTTTTAGGGGAGCTCTGGTGGCCTAGTGGCAAGGAGCTGCAACTACAATCCCAGAAGCTCACGGTTCTAATCCACCAGATGCGCACTAGGTCTACACTGTCCAGCAGCACACCCAGCTCCCGCCCCGCCTCCTTGGGGTACAGTGGAGCTGCTGGCCCCCGACCCATCACCCAGAGTGAGCTGGCCCCCGCCCTGGTTCTGGCTAGCACTCCAGAGAGCGATTCTCGCACCCAAACTTTGCCGATGTCCTCCAGCATCCAGTCAGGAACACCCATCACCAACGATCTCTTCAGCCAAACCCTGCAGCATGCTCTGCAGGCCTCTGAACAGCCTAACCTCCAGAGCCAGTGGCAGCCCCAGCTGCAGCAGCTACGTGCTACAGGCATCCATGATGATGCGCTGAGCCTGTGGTCCCTCCAGGCCACTAGAGGGGACATCCAGGCAGCCCTGGAGCTCATCTTTGCTGGGGGAGCCACCTGAATTCCAAGTTCTTCTCATCCCTTAACAGTCTGCAAAGGCTGCTGCACCACCTCTCCTCTCCCTAATACACCTACTGATGGTCACCTCTGTATGCTTTGTCCAGCGCATGCCCTTTCTGGCTGGTCTGAGCCGGGAAAGGCCGTGGATCAACATGGGGTCTTGGTACTGTGGTATCAGGGAGTTTGCCAGCCTCTGGTTCTGGACAATGGATGGAGAAATTAGACACATCATAAGATGCTTTAAAAAAAACAACAGAGTTTGGAGAGGAAAATACAATTGTTGAAATAAAGGAATTGCTTGGTTGTACAAAAGATTAGGCAAAGCTGAAGAGAATATTAAAGAACTAAAAAGCAGTGCTTCTCAAGTTTTAAAGTATATGTAAATCACAGAAGCTCTTTAAAATGCAAAATGTGATTCGATAGTTGAAGGATAGAAACTGAATTCTTCAGGTTTAATAACTTTAGTGTGGCTTGTCTAAACATTTAAAGTGACAAAAGAACATTTCTAATAGCTATGAAGAAATTACTTGGGATCTACCCCAGAAACACCAAAGTGAAAACATTGAACAGAGGAAGCATATTCATGTTATGTGCCACCCTGACTAAGGCTGTGGTGCCAGTTGGTTGCCCAAACATTAGTCTAGAGGGAAGGGGTTTGTACATTGAGTTGGCTTTAAGGAAATTACCATCCATCATCTGGGTGGTTTTCATCCAAAATTTGAAGGTTTTAGAGCAAAATCAGATTTTTCAGGAAAGGAAATTGTGCCAAAGATTCCATCCTACACTACTCTGTAAATTTCAGGCTTGACAGCTTTCATCTGCCATTACTTGCACTAATTCCTTAAAATCCCTTTTTCTCTTTGAGTGTGGATGTGTATATATAACCTATTGACTTTGTGTCTTTGGATAACACTAATAGGACAAGCTAAAAGATGAGAATGATGGAATAAGACAGTCTTAGCAAGCCTCAGAAGAAAGACAAATGAAAAAAGCAAACCTACACTCAAGGCTGTCAAAATGGTTCCAACTCATAGTGATCCTCTATTGAGTTTCCAAGATTCTAAATTGAAACATAAGGAGGCTGTCTTTCTTTCTCAAAGAGCACAAATGGAGGCCTATGCATCATAGATCTTAATATTTCAAAATTAAGTAGTAAAATACAAGCCATTAAACTTAAATATATCTGCTCTATTTTGACAACTATACTTCCATGACAAGCCAGAAAACCAGTTTCCAAATATAATTAAGCGGAGAGAGCTGTTTTTGATCTGTCACACTCTTGGATCCTGAATGGCTTTGTACACATGCTAGTGGACATTCCAGCCCACCCTTCCAAGCTTCCTCCATTCCTTCCCACTCCTTTCCAGAAGTGTTTTGACTACCTGTTGAAACTGGTAGTGTATACACTACCATTTAGTTTGTCTACAGAGAACAGACTGAAGAGAGAGACCCATGTAGAATTTAAAATTGGTTTATGGAGTCATTTAGGAAGATGAGAAACATACTTTGCCGCTGAGGGAGCAGATTTCAAATAGGCATGTTAATTTGGTATTAAGGATTCCTTGCCACATCAAGAAGTGTATGAGTTAAGGAAGACTAGTGTGGGACTTTGTTTTTTTGGGTTTTGGGGTATTTTTTTGTGATGTTAACAAAAGTTCATAGAAAAGTTGAATTTTCATTCTTTAATTGTTGAACATTTTCCTCCCTACTCAGTTCACTTTAAAAAAAATGCTCAATGTTGCATAATTTTCCCACTCTACCCCTCTCTCCCCCTCCCCCAGTACACTTTGCTACACTTCTTATTCTGGACTGTTGTCATACAAATAATTACTAAATAAATTACTAAATTACAAATAATAAATTACTAAATTACTAAACATAAATTCCTTTTAAACAGTTTTTTCCTTCATCTGTTCCAATGCAATGTTCATTATTTATCCCTTTTTGTAGTTACTATCCCCAAGCCCACAGCTGCATTATGCAATATTTGTCCTTTTGTGACTGAGGTATTTCACTCAGCTTAATGTCCTCCAGGGTCACCCATGTTGTGTAATATTTTATGCGTTCCTTTTTCAGTGCTGTCTAGTATTCCATTGTGTGAAAATACCCTTGTTTCTATTCATTCATTTGTTGATGAGCACTTGGGTTGTTTCCAACTATTTGCTATTGTGAACAACACAACAATAAACATAGGTGGGCATGTTTGGGTGGCAGGTCTGGTTTCTTTAGGGTACATTCCCACGAGTGGAATTGCTGGGTCAAGCAGTATTTTACAACTTTTTAAGAAAGTGTCATACTACCTCCCATGGTAATTGCACCGTTTTACACTCCTACCAGCAACAAATAAGGATTCCAGTCTCTCCAAAATCTCACCAGCATTTGTTGTTTATTGCTCTCTTGAACTTTGCTGTTGCCCACTTTGTGATTCCATTGCTTACCTTTTTCTCTTTGAAGAATTCTATAAATCTTAGATATGAGTCCCTTATCAAATATGTCATTACCTGTGGCTTTCCATTTTACCCGGCTGGTGAAGTTTTTTGATGTGCATAGGGATTTGATTCTTAGAAACTCCCATTCATCTACTTTATTCTCTCCTTGTTGTAGGTGTTTCAAGATGCATGGAAGACTGTTCAGGTTGTAGAGTAGGGCTTCTAGAGTT